TGTAACCCAGGCTGGAGTGCAATGGCGCGATCTCGGCTCACCGCAACCTCCGCCTCTTGGGTTCAGGCAATTCTCCTGCCTCAACCTCCTGAGCAGCTGGGATTACAGGCACGCACCACCATGCCCAGCTAATGTTTTGTATTTTTAGTAGAGACGGGGTTTCACCATGTTGACCAGGATGGTCTCGATCTCTTGACCTCGTGATCCACCCGCCTCCGCCTCCCAGAGTGCTGGGATTACAGGCTTGAGCCACCGCGCCCGGCAGGACGATGGTTTCTAAACAGTAGTGCCTGTCAGAATCACTTGTAGAACTTTAAAAAATATGCAGGCCTGTTATCCTCTGGAGATCTGGATTGATCTAGGGCTTGAAGAAAATGGACTGTCTGTGGAATTTTGGTAATTCATGTTATGTAAAAGTTAGAAACGGCCATTTAATCAGCAGTATAATGTGATGAGGTAGGTATTCCTATTTTACAGGTGAGTAGACAAATTTAGGTAGGTTAAATAATTTTGCCGAGGTCACCTAGCCATAAAGTATTGTAGCTACGATCTGAGCCCAAGTTTGTCTGATTCCAAAGCCTATGGTCATATCACCACTCTTGTAACCATTATGTTACACTGTCTTAGCATTTTTGTTTTCATGTCATAAGTTTATTTACAAACATATCTAATATGCTATATGAGCTCAAGTTTGATCCATTTTCCAGAGATTACCTCTTAAAATGCTCTTCATATCTGTTAAATGGATGAAACATCCTTATTTTTTAAGCAGTTGGTGTCTTACTGTAAAGACGAGTGCAGCAAATCCAGATCCAAAGTACAAACACATCATAGCTAGTAACCGTCACTTGTTTTCCACTGAAAATGGCAAATTCTTTTCAGGGTCCTCCTCACAGTGGAATCTGCAGACCACAGAGGTTGTGAACCTCTGGAGGCTCTGGCCTCCTGGAAGCTCTGCGAAAGGCACAGAAACCAAGGACGGAAGAAGTAGCATTTTTAATAGAGTGGAATCTGACTTGTAATTCTTTTTCTAGCATTGTGTGGCCCATACCACTTGGGTGCATTTCAATCAAGTTTTATTGAGGCCCCGTGATGATGCTGTGAGGCCTAGTTGATATATATTGCTGAAGTGTCCTTATGCTTTTCTTTGTAGTTTGTATGTAATAAGTATACTTTGGGGGTATATACAAAATGCTTGTTTGCCAAGTGTAAAAATATGACATAGCTAATACATAGAAAATGTAGTCAAACTGTTTGTATTCTAAAACTACTGATTTTCCAGCAAATGTGGGGAAAATTTTTTTTTTTTTTTCCCTCTCTGTCAACCCAGGCTGGAGTGCAGTGGCGTGATTTCAGCTCACTGCAACCTCTGCTTCTCAGGTTCAAGCAATTCTCCTACCTCAGCCTCTGGTAGCTGGGGCTACAGGATTGCACTACCACCCCTGGCTAATTTTTTTTTTGTATTTTTAGGAGAGACAGGGTTTCAACATGTTGGACAGGCTAGTCTTAAACTTCCTGACCTTGAGTGATCCACTCGCCTTGGCCTCCCAGAGTGCACTGCACGGTCCCAAAATTTTAATTAGTGTTTGCGTTTATACTCTTTAGCATACAGATTGGTCGTAACATGACAGATGTTACTACTTAAAGATCCTTAAGTTAGTAGGAGACATTTTGCTTAGACATTACTTGATTTATTTTAAGAGGAAAAACTTTGAACTGTTTCTCCTGAATTTTCTGTTTTCGGGGTTTTCAAAAATGGGTCTGGAATAGTGATTTGCAAATCTTAGTGTCTTTTCCATGAGAAGATTTTAATGACTCTACCATGAAATTACAAAAAAGAAAAGTGTAGTGATATTTCATAATGGTGTTCTCTTTATTCTGGGATTTTTAGCCTTCATACTTTTTACTGTTATGTGTTTCCTTTTTAAGATGATGGTGAAAGTAGAGTTAAAAAACTTTTATTGATAGGATTAAGGGAGTCCACTACCTTGTATCAGATTTCCTGTTTCTTTTCGAAGCCTTTGAAATGAAGTTTAGGGACCACTGATCTAGAATTCTCTTTATGCTCCTCCACTACCCATTAACCCCACTCTATATAGCCTGCTTTTTGCTGTACTTTCCCCTCACTCCCCTCTGAACACTTTTAGAACACTATTTTTCTGTTCATGATTGACCTTCAAATTGCGAAATCCTGTGGCCTTACAGACCATGTGTATGTACTTAACCAACACTTTCTGCTGTTGACAAATTCTTCAGAATTATTTTGTTTTGCTTCCAAAACTGTGGTCCACTTATCACTTTTCTTCATATGTTTTCTTTCTTTTGTTCCCAGTTGGTGTTATGTGGGGTTCTGGTTCTATTTTATATTTTTACTGTATATTCAGAATCAGATTTTTAGCTACCATGTACCATCTGAATAATGCCTAAAATTTATTGTTTACTCTTTCCTAAGTGTTATTCCAGTGCTTCAGTATTTACTCATTTAATTCTCAAAACAACTCAGTGAGGTTGATACAGGTATAATTGGCTTCTTTTTTTTTTGTTTTTCCTGATACTGGCATATTGAGGCCCAGGTTAAGTAATCTGTGCAACTAGGAGGCAGTAGAACTGGGATTTGAACTTAGACTGCCTCTAGTGGCCATGTTCTTAACCACTACTAGATTTTTGGCCTCCAGATGTCCCATGTATTTCTAACTTCCTGTTTAATTTTTCTACCTCCAATTCAATGGATCCATTCAGTTAATCTCAAGTGCCTGCCTCTTCCCCTTGACAAAACACACTTACTCATTCTTTATTCCTTGCCACATTAAAGTTAACACTATCCTCCCCATCACTAGTGCTATAGAGGTCATTGAATCTTCCCCCCGTCTATGTTCGGCCTCTGAGTTTTATTGATTCCAGCATAATTATTTGGTGAATATATTTGAGTGCGATTTTGTGCTAGATGCTGGGTGTATAATGATTTCCTTTGAGAGCTTATACTCTAGAATTTTTTTATTCAAGGGAGGGTCCCACTCTGTCGCCCAGGCTGGAGTACAGTGGTGCCAACATGACTCGCTGTAGCCTCAACCTCCTGAGCTCAAGTGATCCTGCTGCCGCAGCCTCCCAAGTAGGTGGGACTACAGACAAGTACGACCTCACCAGGCTGTTTTTATTTTTCTTTGAGATGGGTTCTCACTTTGTTACCTAGACTGGCTTCGAACTCCGGAGCTTAAACAATCCTCCTACTTCATCCTCCCAAAGTCCAAAGTGTTGGGATTACAGGTATGAGTCACTGCGCCTGGCCAATAAAATCTAACAACAAATTAATAGAATGCTAAGAAAATAAATGGTGATAGGAATCCTGTATAATATTTATTGAACACTTTCTTTCTTTTTTTTAGAGACAGAGTCTCTCTGTGTCACCAGGCTGGAGTGCAGTGGCATGATCTTGGCTCACTGCAACCTCCACCTCCTGGGTTCAGGTGATTTTTTTATTCTTTTTTGAGATGGAGTCTCTCTTGCTTAGGCTGGAGGGCAGTAGCATGCTCTTGGCTCACTGCAACCTTTGCCTCCCAGACTCGTGATTCTCCTGTCTCAGCCTCCCAAGTAGCTGTGACTACTGGTGCGTGCCACCATGCCTGGCTAATTTTTTTTGTATTTTTAGTACAGACAGTGTTTCACCATATTGGTCAGGCTGGTCTTGAACTCCTGACTTCATGATCCACCCATCTCAGCCTCCCAGAGTCCTGGGATTATAGGCGTGAGCCACCATGCCCAGTGTTCAGGCAATTCTTATGCCTCAGTCTCCCGAGTAGCTGGAATTACAAGCACCCGCCACCACGCGGGGCTAATTTTTGTATTTTTAGTAGAGATGGAGTTTTGCCATGTTGGCCTGGCTGGTCTGGAACTGCCGACCTCAAGTGATCCACCTGCCTTGGCCTTCTGTGCCTGATCTATTGTGCACTTTCTATATGCTCAACATTATTTTAGATTCTTCAATACATTTAATTCTCATAACGTTCCTATATGTATGCTTTTAGATCTGAAGCATTCTAGTCGGAAGCTATAGCATTTATCAGAAGTTCTAAAGCAGGAAAGAGCTATGTTGAAATTGTGTGAACTGGCCGGATGTGGTGGGTCATGCCTGTAATCCCAGCACTTTGGGAGCATCACTTGAGCCCAGGAGGTGGAGACCAGCCTGGGGAACAGTGAGACCCTGTCTCTAAAAAAAAAAAAAAAAAAAAAAAAAAAGTCTGTGAACTGGACTATAATGATTCAAGAGGCTAAGTAATATAGGTAATGTCAGTATCCTAAAATATATTCTAATTCACTTATTCTTGGTTTTTGGGGGATTGTAGTCCCCTTTGCATATATGATGAAAGCTATAGAGTCTCTTTGAGTTTTATTTTTTGTTTTGTTTTGTTTTTTTTTACAAAAGGGTAAGAAAATTTTGCTTAGAATGCCCGTGAAGCCTGACTACTGCCCTAAGGAAGTAGCTGATTTAATCTGTATTTTCATTTCTGTTCTAACATTGCCTTAGTTCATAAGTGCTCCTCCTGGCAGAATTCTCTTGAGATAATCTCCTGGCAAGTTTGTTCCATCCATTGCCCCTCTTAACAGTTTATCCTTTATATCATAAATATGATTGCATTATGTATTACCCTCCTTTAACTTTTTTTTTTTTGAGACGGAGTTTCGCTCTTGTTACCCAGGCTGGAGTGCCATGGCGCGATCTTGGCTCACCACAACCTCCGCCTCCTGGGTTCAGGCAATTCTCCTGCCTCAGCCTCCTTAGTAGCTGGGATTACAGGCACGTGCCACCATGCCCAGCTAATTTTTTGTATTTTTTTAGTAGAGACGGGGTTTCACCATGTTGACCAGGATGGTCTTGATCTCTTGACCTCGTGATCCACCCACCTCGGCCTCCCAAAGTGCTGGGATTACAGGCTTGAGCCACCGCGCCCGGCCCCTCCTTTAACTTTTTTATGAAAAGTTCCAAACATGTACGAAAATAATACAGTATTGTGACCTCCCACAAACCTGTCACTCATCTTAAACACTAACAACTCATTATCAGTCTTATTTTACCTGTACTTCAGTCCTTGTCCATTCCAAATCATTATTATTTTATTAATTTTTAAAAGACAGGGTCTCACTGTGTTGCCCAGGCTGGAGTGTAGTGGCGTGATCGTAGCTCACTGCAGCTTCAAAACTCCTGGGTTCAAATGATCCTCCCACCTCAGTCTCCCAAATAACTTGAACTATAAGCATGTGCCACCATGCCTGGCTAATTTTTTTTAGTAGGTACGGGGGTCTTTCTATATTGTCTAGGCTGGTCTTGAGATCCTGGCCTCAAGCGATCCTCCTACTTTGGTATCTCAAGAGTGCTGGGATTAAAGGCATGAGCCACTGTGCCTGGCATTTTTTGTTTTCTTTTTTAATTAAAAAAAAAATTTTTTTTTTTTTTGAAACAGAGTCTCACTGTGTTGCCCAGGCTGGAGTGCAGTGGTGTGATCTCAGCTCACTGCAACCTCCACCCACCGGGTTTGAATGATTCTCATGCCTCAGCCTCCGGAGTAGCTGGGATTACAGGTGTGCCAACATGCCCAGCTAATTTTTTTAATTTTTAGTAGAGGTGGGGTTTCACCAGGTTGGTCAGTCTGGTCTTGCACTCCTGGATCACCCGCCCACCCTGGCCTCCCAAAATGCTGGGGTTACAGGTGTGAGCCACTGCATCTAGCCACTTTTGAGAGAGAGAGAGAGAGAAGGCTCTCTATCTGTCGTCCAGGCTGGAATGCAGTTGTATGATCATAGGTCACTGTAGCCTCAAACTCATGTCATCCCATATTATTTAAAATCAGTCTCAATCATGATGAATATTTCAGTATGTGTCTAAAAGACAGACTGGGCATGGTGACTTAAACCTATAATTAAAAGACTTCGGGAGCCTGAGGTGGGAGGATCACTTGAGGCCTGGAATTTGAGGCTGGTCTGGGCAACACAGTGAGACCCCATCTCTACAAATTTTTTTTTTTTTTAAATTAGTTGTGGTTGCACCTGCTTCTAGTCCTAGCTGCTTAGGAGGCTGAGCTAGGGGGATTACTTGTGCCCAGGTGTTCAAGGCTTCAGTGAGCCATGATTGTGCCAGTGCACTCAGCATGGGCAACAGAGTAAAACCCTGTCTCTGAAAAGAGAAAAGAAAAAAAAGATAAGAGCTTTAAAAGTCAGCTGCAATATCATTACTGTAGTTGTATACCGAATTGTTAAGAAAAATTAGCTACTTCCTAATATTATTGTCAAATACCCAGAGTTTAAATTTCCAGTTTTCTCAGGTATCTTAGGACAGTTTGTTTGAATCTGCATCCAAATAACCTGTTGTATTTGGGACTTCTCCATCTTTTTTTCTTTTCCCTACCATGTTTTGTTGAAGAAATAGGCGGTTGGTTTCTTCATCGTTTGAAAGTTCTGAGAGTCTATGTTTTTGCTAAGTGCTTTCCTGTGTCCTGTGTAGTTTTGCTATCATGCTTATTTTCCTTATAACTTGGTTGTTTGATCAGAATTCGTTTTTCTTGAGTTTTGGGAGTGCGTGTTGAAGGACGAGACCGATTTACAGGTAGTGATGAGGTCTTTCATCAGAAGGCATACAATAGTTGGTTGTCTTTTTGTATGATGTTAGCAACTGTTGATGTTAATGCTTAGGAACGTTCCATTACTAGGGCCACCCATTGTTTTAAAAAATCTTGTTAAGAAATTGAGATAGAATTCACGTAACACAAAATTCACCCTTTTGAAGCATACTTTTTTTTTTAACCTTCCTCCCGTAAAAGTGAAATTTTCAGTTCATTTCTGAGAAATAAATTGGTCAGTATAATTCATTTTGTTCTACTTCTGCTTTACACAAAGCTTTGTGTTCAGCCTGATACCTTTCTAGCTGCATTTTTTTTCTTTTCTTCATTATTATTATTTTGAGACGGAGTTTCCCTCTGTCACCCAGGTTGGAGTGCAGTGGTGCGATCTCAGCTCACTGAAATCTCTGCCTCCTGGGTTCAAGTGATTCTCCTGCCTCACCTTCCCAAGTAGCTGGGACTATAGGCATGGACCACCACGCCCGGCTAACGTTTGTATTTTATTTAATTAATTTTTTTAATATATGTTTTATCGGAATTTAGGTTTTGGGCTATATGTGAAGAACATGCAAGATTGTTGCGTAGGTACATACATGGCATTGTGGTTTGCCGCCTTTCTCCCCATCACCTATACCTGGCATTTCTCCCCATGTTATCCCTCCCCAACTCCCCACCCCTCACTATCCCTCACCTAGGTCCCCTCCACAGACCCCAGTTTTTGTATTTTATTAGAGACGGGGTTTCATCTTGTTGGCCAGGCTGGTCTCAAACTTCTGACCTCAGGTGATCCAACCGCCTCAGCCTCCCAAAGAGCTGGGATTACAGGTGTGAGCCACCATGCTCTGCCTAAATTTTCTTTTCTTCTGTTAGTACTTGAAGTTGAGTTGTAAAGTTGTTGAGCCTCTTACTGCTTTGCTGTTAATTTGAGCAAGTTCTGAGCACCGATGGCCTTCATCTTCTCATTTTCTGCTGCTTTTGCAAGTTGATCAACAAGCTCAATTAAACCACCAACTATTTTCTGAAACTGGCCAATTTTGTCCACAATTTTGTGCACTTTTAAGCACTGTGGTCTGCTGGGTAACCTCGGTCCAACACCTGCAGCTTGTTCAGCTCATCAAAATGCAGCGCTGCTTCACCCAGGATGTCCTTGGCTGTAGCTGTTCCCCATCCAGGTTCCCTAGAGAAGTTCTGCTCTGAAGGAGTGACAGTGGCAGTCAGAAGGAGGTTTGTCATAGGAATAAGGGTCAAGAAAAGAATAAAGTCTGCTTGCTTGTGACAGGCATCGTTCATTCAATACACATTTCTTGAGTGCCCACTACATGCCAACACTGCTAGATGCTGGGGGTACAAAGATGAATGCAGCATGGTGCCTGCCCTGCTGGCCCATGGCGACCGCTCACTATGGCCCAGGCTGATGTAGACAGGCAGCTTCTCCCTGTACCGGCAGCCTGTGTGCAGGCAGCCTGCTTTGGCCATTGTCATGACTGCAGAACCTGTTTACCCACGACCTGAAATATATTTTTATTAAGGTTTTTTTTTTTTAATTTTATTTTACAAAATGCCTTTAAATGTATTTAATTTACCTTTTTTTTGAGACCGAGTTTCACTTTGTTGCCCAGGCTGGCATGCAATGATGTGATCTTGCCTAACTGCAACCTCTGCCTCCCAGGCTCAAACAATTCTCCTGCCTCATCCTCTCAAGTAGGTGGGATTACAGGTGTGAACCACCATGCCCAGCTAATTTTTTTGCATTTTTAGTAGAGACAGGGTTTCATCCTGTTGGTCAGGCTGGTCTCGAACTCCTGACCTCAAATGATCACCCACCTCGGCATCCCAATGTTCTGGGCTAACAGGTGTGAGCTACCGCGCCCGACCTAAGTTAATTTTCTTTTGATTCCAAACTGTGTATGCTAGCTCTTGTGTGCACACACTCACTGCCCCCGCCCCAAGACAATGCTTTAGAGCAGTTTTAGGTTCACAACAAAATTTAGCAGAAAGTACAGTTTCCTACCCAAAAGTTTTGCCTTTTCCAGAATATGTTCATATACCTTCCCTTGTTATGCTTGGGGGAAATTTGTTCCAGGAGCTTTCCTCTAGAATACCAGAATCCTCAGTTGCTCAAGTCCCTCAATACAATGAAATACATGGTATTTGTATGTAACTTATGCGCATCTTGCTGTATATTTTAAATTTCGAGATTACTTGTAATTATCTAATACAATGCAAATGCTGTGTAACTAGTTGTTATCCTTTTTTTACATTTTTTTTTTTTTTTTTTTTTGAGGTAGGGTCACTCAGGCTGGAGTGCAGGGGAACAATCACGGCTCACTGCAGCCTTGACCTCTGGGCTCAGATGATCCTCCCATCTCAGCCTCCTGAGAAGCTAGGCCTACAGGTGCCTGCCACCACCCTTGGCTAATTTTTGTATTTTTTCTAGGTTGTGGAGGCTTTTGTACTCCTGGGCTCAAGCGATCTGCCCTCTTTGGCCTCCCAAAGTACTAGGATTACAGGTGTCAGCTACTGTACCCAGCTAGTTGCTGTACTTTTAAAAAATTATTTATTATTTTTCTGGAATATTTTTGCCTTGCCATTGTTTGAATCTGTGAATGGGGAACCCTTGGATACAGAAGGTTGCCTTAGTTTGAATCATATAATAGGTAGCCTTTTCACTTAGTAGCAGTGCATTTAATTCTTCTCCATGTCTTTTCTAAGTGTTGATAATTTCGTTTTAGTGCTGAACAATATTCTATTTATGGATGTACCATAGTTCACCTTTTGAAGGGCATCTTGGTTACTTTCAAGTTTTGACAATTATGAATAAAGGCTATAAACATCCATGTGCACGTTTTTGTGTGGACATGTAAGTTTTCATGTAATTTGGGTAAATACCAGGGAGCGTGATTGTTGGATCATATGGTAAGATTATATTTAATTGTGTAAGAAACTGCCAAATGGTCTTCCAAAGTGGCTGTACCATTTTGCATTCCCACCAGTAATGAATGAGGGTTATTATTGCTCCACTTTCAGCTTTTGGAGTTGTAGTGTTTTGGATTTTAACCATTTTGATAGTTACATAGTGGTATCTCATTGTTTTTAATTTACATTTCCCTAATGAAAAACAGTTATTGAAGCCGGACATGGTGGCATGTGCCTGTAGTTCCAGCTCCCTGAGGGATGAGATAGAGGATCACTTGAGCCCCAGGGGTTGAGGCTATGGTGATCCATGATTGCCCCACTGCACTCCAGCCTGGGTGACAGAGTGCGTCCCTGTCTCAAAAGGTTCTGTAGAGTCCTGCTAGGAACAGAAGTGAACTTCTAAAAGTAAATATGTCTTGGCAGCTGCTTTCCAAGGCCTGGCTATAAATAAGGCCTGCAGAGCCAAAGAGAGCATATAGCTCTTCTTAAAATTGAAGGTGTTGGCTGGGCACGGTGGCTCACGCCTGTAATCCCAACACTTTTGGAGGCCAAGGTGGGCAGATCACCTGAGGTAAGGAGTTTGAGACCAGCCTGGCCAACATGGTGAAACCCCATATCTACTAAAAATACAAAAAATTAGCGAGGCATGGTGGTGCATGCCTGAGTTCCAGCTGCTCAGAAGGCTGAGACAGGAGAACCACTGGTACCCAGGTGGTAAAGGTTGCAGTGAGTCAAGATGGTGCCGTTGCACTCCATCCTGGATGACAAGAGTAAAACTCCAACTCAAAAAAAAAATTGAAGGTGTTTAAGCCCAAGATGAAACTGAATACTACTTAAGAGATGTTCTTATGTGTATAAAGTGAAGAACAGCATGGGCAAACTGAACAAAACTAGAGTAATTGGGGAAAGGCAACTCACACCGATGGAAACAATGGCATGGTTTGTGTCAAATTCTGAAGCAGCTTTCCTGGTAAGGCCACTGGACACAGAATACCCTTCAAGGATTTAAATTAATGAAAAGTAAATAAATAAAAGTGGGTTGAGGCCAGACACAGTGGCTCACGCCTATAGTCCCAGCACTTTGGGAGGCCAAGGTGGGCAGATCACTTGAGGTCAGGAGTTCAAGACCAGCCTGGTCAACATGGTGAAATCCTGTCTCTACGAAAAAACCCACAAAAATTAGCCAAATGTGATATTGCATGTCTGTAATCCCAGCCACTTAGGAGACTGAGGCAGGAAACTCGCTTGAACCTGAAAGGTAGAGGTTGTAGTTAGCCAAGTTTGTGCCTCCAGCCTGGGCAAACAGAGTGAGACCCTGTGGGTTGTTTTTTTTTTTTTTTTTTTTT